TATACTTACTAATATTATAATTGCAAAAGTAACTATGTCTGTCTGTCTCGATTTCACGCTACTACTGAACCGATTAAATGAAATTTGGTAAAGAGTTAGTCTAGAGCCTGAGAAAGGACATAAGGTATAATGATAAATAAGAAAAATAAAAGGTTGAAAGGTTATGTGGAAGTGTTGCTATTTAAGCTAGAAGCTTAATACTTACTTTTTAGGTAGTTGATTAAATATAAATAAATGTCCACAGTTTGTATAAATTTTACCCTTGAGGGGCTAAAATAAAATAAGGGATGAAAGTTTGTATGGAAAAGCGACATTTTTAAAGCTAGAACAATTCTTTGGCATTTTAATTTAGATTATCGAATATTTTTTCTTTATTTGGTCAAGGTGACTGTAACACGCGGACGAAGTCGCTGGGCACAGCTAGTATATTATATAAAAATACTTCTTTCAGAAAACGTTCATAAACGTCTGTGTTATAGAAACAAACAATTTCCGTCTAATATTTATTTATTGAAAAAATATACCATTATCTGATACCTACCAGCTACAGTCATCTTAACGCCTTCAAAACAACGATTCGGCAGCTTTTGTTCTTCAAACAGGCCTTTCCCTTGTCACTGTTTATTTACCAGACACTCGTCTATTGTGCTGTTCTCGTTATTTTAGGGTTCCTCGGGACAATAATAGTCATGCTGAGTGTTTTCTAATGAGTGAGTTCAGTGTTGCCCTATAAACTGTACTGCACTAATTGTGTGCTAGTAAAAAATTATGATATACAAGTAATAACTGAAACACGCAAATTAATCTGCGTCACATTTTGCCAGTTTTTGTAATATTTTTAGCGTAGTTTCGCTCCTAATAGATGCCTATACATGTTACGATCTTTCACACACGATCAGAACGTCCGTGATTTAGCGCGAAAACGCCAGCGCGCGGAATCATCACTGATTGCATTTCACTATATTTTATGTTTTTTTCCACGAGTTCTCGTTGTCTACATTTACATGCACATTCTTTCCTGCGTGAAAGCCGATTTTCGCGTAAAATAGCGTACGTGTATAGGCAGCCAATATTAGTAGCGTGATGTTATATAGTTTGCCGCCTTCTTCGATAAATGGACTATCTAACATTAGAACAATTTTTGAAATATTTTTTAAATAATAATATTAATTTTGTACGGGTATTTACCCCGAACATCCATGAACAAAGTTTAGCGCTGTATCATATTAGCAGATATATATTTACTACAGACTCTTGCATTAAAAGTAATTTATAAACGATCAGTGCCCCATCCCGTCTTTACTCTGCTACTTTTAAAGTGTTTTTTTGTGACTGAACTTACAAACAAATTAATGCCCTAATGATAAATAGTAACCGTCACCTACTTCTATGAACAGCACTACGAATAACACAACATTATGAAACATCCGTAGTTCGTCCGGTTTTTGCTTGGATACTCATAACTCTGTGAATTCTATACAAAATTTATATATTCTAACATAATGTAACCTATGTCACTTGGAACATTTTAAGTATTTTGAAAGAGTTAAAGAATTTCTCAAATCGATGTTCCAGAGTTTACTTTCCTTATAACGAAATCTACGCTTTATAATAAAAGAATGTTCTTTTCTTGACTGAATCTTTTCCGGCATTAGAAACAGTTTTACAAATTTCAAATCAAAAACCTTTAATATTATCGGAAATGTAGTACTCGATTAAAAATTTCTCAATCATTTTGGATCAGATTTCCTTCGAAATTAAAAAAATAAATATTATTATAAAATAATATTACACAATTAATTCATAAATTTATAAAAGAAATAATATTACATTGATGATTATAATAATATACAAAACCCTTAACAAATTTCTCTTTCAACACGTTCCATTTTCAAAAGGTTTTGCGGCTGACAGACGTAATAAAGTGTCATTTTTTGTTAGCGAGGAAAAAAACGTTCCCAATTCTTATCGCCGTCATTGTATTTTGAATATTTTTACAACATACATGCCTTAGAGTATATAGTTACATATATATTATATTACTATCCGCAAGTATGTTGTAGAACTCGTAGTTTAAATTGTGTAAATAAATGAAACGCCATGATTGTATTTTCACATCTCTCTAATAATATTTTTATTCATAAAACAAATTAATTCGAAGCGTATTCCAAATTCAAAATAAATACAAAAGAGTTTTTATGTCTGGTACACATGTATAAGTAAATCAATAAAATCGCGTTTCGGCGTAGGTGGCCTAGCGGTTTAGCTTTCGCTTTATTTCCGATGGTCTCGAGTTCGATTCTTCGCGTGGTACAAACATTTGTATTATAAGTATGATTGTCTGTATTGGTCTATATATTATTTATGTATCGATAAAAAAAATATGTCTAAGTATTTATATCAGATGTCTAGTCTACAATACAAGCTCTGCTTACCTTGGGACTAGGTGACATTGTGTGAATTGTCTAGGGTTATTATCATGTTTCAATATGATACTCTTAAGTCTATAGTTTTAATTTTTGGAATGGTATCTTTTTTATACTTTGAATGGTAAGTGGCGGCAGGCCTACGTGATGATGAGCGATAACAGTTACCTATATGCACAAACAGCACGGGGGACATCACGTTATCATGTGACATCCGCAATACCTCTCATGCCTTTGTCATTCGCACCCAACAACTGAAACTCAGCTTACAAAGAAGCTACTTGGTGTCTGAATCCTACCTACGACTACAACTAACTACAGACGACTTCTTACATCGTCTTAAATAAATAATATAGCAAAAGTCTAGTAAGAATGAGAGTGTACATCTAAAAATCCACTTATTTAACGTAAGCAAAAACCAAAGCCACTTATTTAACGTAAGCAAATATTTTAAATCATTGTCTTGTTGTCCAAATCTCAATTCCACAATTCAGACCAACCGTTGTTCCAGACCGACATTCTAATTTCAAATCAGTCCTTGCTTCTTGAAATTCGAATCAATTTAAATATAATAGAATTCGATTTCAAGAATCGAAAACAAAAAATAAATTTCATTCCATTTTATTCAAATAATTGTTTTTAAAATTTGAAATCGTTCCATACTTTAATTTAATTCAATTTTTTAATGATTGCATTACACATTTTTGTTTTGTTTTCATTTTGTATTTATTCAATGTTAGTACACACTCTGTTTATACACAGTATCTTTGTCTCCTTTATTTCAGCCGTCAAGGAGTTTGTTTTATAAATCGTGTATTGTTTGAAATGATGGGACACATCAGTGCAATTACATGGTAAGAAGGAATAATTAATGGCCTAGCACACCGATTTACTTCCGATGGTCGCGGGTTCAATTCCTCGCACGGTGCAAACATTTGTATTCATGAGAATCACTAATTCTATCGGTCTGGGTGTATTCTATGCATATTATTATGTATTTACAAAAATATATATAAGTCGTCTAGTACCCATAACATATGCTCTCTTTACCGTGGGACTAGATGATGCTGTGTTAATTGTCTAAGGGTTATATATATATTTATTAATGATTCCTTAGTCCTTAGTATACACCACTGCCAATGCGTGAGAGGCGTGAAACGAACGTCACAGGACAAAATGATATCCATGGTGCTGTTCATGTCACCTCAACAGGTGGACTGTCAGCATGTTTGACATTCTATCATTCCATCAACATTCAGAATAATAAATTTATGAAGTTATATTAATATTATAACCAATTATTAGGTGTTTTGCCATACAATAAAATCTATTTTATTCATAATGAATCAACATTAGTGTTACCTATAATTGAGATAGGAATCATTCGCCTAACCTCAATCCTACCACGATCGCCTGTTCTTAATTTGTGGTAAATCGATGAATAATTTGCAAGTTTCAAATTACAAACCTTATCATCTTATACATACATATCTATCTTCACGACATTTTACTTATGGGATGTGCAGGTAGAGTACTATAACTGGAGCGAGATTCTTTAAAAAATAGGATTAATTATAAGTGCATATATTTCCCAAGAGGTCTCGTAAGACAGTCAAAAGAAACATATAAAAAAATTGGTGACTACAAGCTACCAGCAACAAGTATCGAAAGTTAAACGTACTCGTATGCTTATATAGGTAACCATAATTTTGAGTAAAAAAAAAATACATACACACATATACTATACGACTGGCATTCCAGATAAGTCTTATGCCTTTGATGTATCAGAGGCATTTTTATTCATTCTTTTATTGGAATACTATTAATGGAATACTATTAATGGTAATCTATACATATAAATAAAATTGGAGTATCAGTTTGTAATATTGAAATAACCGTTTTTTAGTACATGCATATCAATAGAAATATGATACATACACGAAAATATTTTTTTTTTTATAATCTTAGTCTATCTGTCTGTTTGTTCCAGCTAATCTCGGAAATGGCTGGACCGATTTTCACGGGATTTTTATTGGCTATTTTTAGAAAAATTAATTTATTTTAGAAAAAATAAAGTTAAATTCCACGTAAACGAAGTCGCGGATACAGCTAGTTTTCTAATACAATTACCGAAACTTGCCTGCTTGGTGGTTAATGCGCTAAGATATCTAAATTCATTTTCAACCTTATATCGATGATTGCTATACTCTTTATGTATACCATTTGTTGCAAACTCTTTGCACATTTTTATATATTTATTTTTCTATCAATTTTAAATGTATTTTCTTTTAGAATTGTCATATATTTTTTATTGTCACTTTTTGCCTACAACCGTTTGTAAACGTATCTATCTTCATTATAAGTATTTTCCATTTTCTATCCATTGTTTGATTTACATTACACATACAGTCCACTCATTCTATCACCTACATTTTGGTCCTTCGAGGCAAACAAAGAAATACCATCCCAATATTTTCATTTATTGTTTCATTCGTAGTACATAGTTTCATACATACATTGTAGTGCCATCAGTACCGTCATTCATTTATGATCACTCGCAGTAGAAGTAAAATCATGGCATCACATGACGTTCCTACTACATCTCACGCCGAACCATTATGTCATAGTCGCGGTTCATCAATTGTAGACGTAGTTGATAGGATTTGTGTAGACGACGGTGACGCCGCGTGTAGTTTGCGTTCAGCACAATCCAAATCTCGGGTTTCATCTTCATCCGTAAAGGCGCGTAGGGCTGCTGTTGAAGCCGCTTACAAGCGACGGCAGTACGAGCGCGAGGCTATGCTTGCACAACGTCTTTCGGAAGTTGAAGATGCCGAATTCCGTGCCGAGATCGAACAAATCAATGCGGATGCGGACTGTGAAGGTAGCAAGCGAAGTAGGAGCACATCTATTCGTATGAGAACACAGCAATGGGTAAAGAACAATGTAGATACTAAGGTACGTGACAACAGTGAGGAACAACGCGAGGTCCCACAGCCTAGCTATCTGGCACCTACGATACCGGTAGCCTCTCAGGCTGCTGCTTCGCAAATAGCAGCACACCTCTCGTATCCTACACATGTAGGTTCTGTTCCCCATACATCCAGACAGGCGGCCATGCCACGACCGACCTCACACTCCCTGGCAAATGTAGCGGGTGAACAACAGCATGTGCCAATATTAGGCAATAACGATGGTAATTCACATTTATTCTTACAAATTACCGCCAACATGGCTGATGCAGCCAATGCTTTAGCCACAGCTCAGGGCATGCGGAAGCACTGTAGGACAGAATTATTTCCGTTTACAGGGAACGCATTGCAGTGGCTACAGTTTAAAAAATTATTCAATGTTTCTAAATCGTCTTATTCTCCTGTAGAGAACGTTGCACGTTTACAAAACGTGCTCCGTGGCCCCGCACGAGAAGCCGTCTCTTCACTTCTCGTCTCTGCAGAGGATCCCGAAGAGATCATGTGCGCACTCGAGCGTAGTTTTGCGTCACCCGAGATGATCGTCTTCGGCGAAGTACAATCGTTACCGCGGTTGGGTAACGAACTTAAAGAATTAAGTACTATCGCTAATAAGGTACGAAATAGTCTTTCTACTATAAAACTATTAAATCGTAGGGAGTATTTACACTCTCCAGAACTATTCTATTCTATTTTAGGAAAATTAAATCCTAACATAAAATTAAGGTGGACAGATTACGCGTCTGAATTTAGTCAAGCGAACCCGGACCTATCTAAGTTAGAGGTTCGGTGTGAATTTTTGACAAGAGAGCACGAGCGTCATATTAGTTTCTGCCTATCTCCTGAAGGGGCACTTTCTTTAGCAACACAACAGACGCACATAAGTCATTTTGCTAATAAACAATTTAAACGTGAAAATATACATTCTACGTCTCATTCCAAATTAAAAATAAATAAGGTCGAATGCGTTTATTGTAAAAGAAGTCACAACATTAAATCTTGTGACGAATTTAAGTCACTGTCACTCGACGACAGATGGAGTTGGCTACGAAAATGTAAGGTTTGCTACAAATGTCTTCGACAGAGTTCACATTTATGGAAGTCATGCAAGGTAAATCCTTGTGGAATAAACGGCTGTTCCTTTCGTCATCATCCTCTTCTCCATGGTAGACAGGATACGTTAGTGTCGTCCCAGGCACCCGATACACTGCTCACAAATAATACAGTGTGTGCCACTGCAACTCAAAATGAGATGCTCACGGCAACGTCTCCTGACGTCATAGAGGAAAATACGGTTTTCATTAGCAACACCGGTATTTCGCAAACCAAACGAACCCTGTCAACGTATACAAATGTTTTATTAAAAATTGTACCTGTCACTGTTTTCGGACCAACTGGTAGTTGTGACACATACGCATTGTTGGACGATGGTAGTACGGCCACATTAATTGATTCAGTCGTTGCCACTCAAATCGGACTAACGGGACCCAAGGAATCCATAACCGTCAATGGTATAGGTGGCCTACATAAAAACACTACCATTAGTTACGTAGATTTTTATATAAAAGGAAAGTATACAACTGACACTTACTTAATAAAACGTGCTAGAGCTATAACGTCACTTAGTTTACATGCGCAGTCCTTATACAAAGAGACATTAACAACCTATAACCATTTACGCGATTTATCCGAGTTTTTGTCACATAATAATGCTACACCTACTATACTCATTGGTGCTGAAGACTGGCATTTGTCAATCTCTCGTGAAGTTCGTACTGGTAAGCGCAATGAACCTGTAGCCTGTCGTACGTTATTGGGTTGGACTTCATACGGAGTGGATTGTAGTAAAAGTAAACCTACTGAACGTATTAATTATTGTCAATTTTCGACTAGTGTGTTGTCCAATAACATAAGTAAACACCGATGGTATACGGAGCCGTCATTACAGTCTCCTAAAAAGTGGCCTATAGAACCACCTGTTCAGCCCGTTATTCAAACTGAACATGAACAACGCATTAATTCATTGGCTGTTCATCGGGTCATTACATCTAATTCTGTTCCATTCCATCACTGGTCACTTTTATATCGCGCCATTTCTCGTATTTTTGATGTTTTTAAAATTCGCTCGTTTATAGATCGCGTGATTCCTGGCTCAAAAATAGTTGCTCGCACCCATCAACGTAAGATGTCTGCGTCCACCACTTTATCAACTATGACAGCAGAATTGATAAAATCTACAGAAAGGCATATCTTACATCGCGTTCAACAAGATAGCTTCAAAGAAGAAATCCAGTGTATCCCGAGACCACAACCAATCGCGAAAACGAGTGACATAATTAAAATTGTCACCTGGAGAAGACAATCTCGTGCGCTCAGTTGGAAGTATAAAGGATGTACTGACTAATTACGCAGCACCGTACGAAGCGTAGTCTTTCGCCACTATCATTATCATAGAAGACAGAAAAGACAGAGCTTAATGACTGGAGATGTTCCTCCTCAACGGCCTGCTCATCCGTCGATCCGTCCATTCACTGGACAAGCCACGGTAAGGTTACTGTCGGCCGAAGATATGAAAAACATATTGCTCTATCCACCTGATTAACATCTAGAGCTATTTAATTATTTAGAGCTTGTCCACAACCTGTCTGCAGAGTCCACCTGATCAGTTTAGTCTCCCAATCCTGATTTTGCTGCCAACAGAGCTACATACCAGCAGCTGCCCCGTCTTTTGGAGGTTGTTGAGAGAGACTCGTCCCGCTATACAAAAGTCGCTTTGAATTGACCGTCTATTGACGAAGCATAAGCCATAGTCACTCATCCTCAGTCATGGTTTAGTGGAAAATGATGACGAAGAAATCCCAAAAGGTTTTATTTGGATCGTCATTTAACCGAATTAAAACTGAAGCCTTACATGACAGAGACTCGTTCGGTAAGCTAAAGAAGATTTCAGATTCGATGAAACCATGTCTAAATAATAATAAAGAGCGCAATGCTAAACATTAGCGACTTGGTTGTGATCGTGGATGAAAACTTACATACCGAGAGTAACTTCGTGGATCCAGTACAGCGACTTTTCCAATGAAACAAAAGTGTTGTTAAGGTGGTGGACGTAGTAGAACTACTGCAGGGGTTTGCTTCGCCGCCTCTTCAAAAAAGTCATATAAAACACTTAGATTTCGGTTTCTCCTTATTTAGGCTAGTTTGTGCAGTTCTGCACCAGGGGTCGGTATGTTGCAAACTCTTTGCACATTTTTATATATTTATTTTTCTATCAATTTTGAATGTATTTTCTTTTAGAATTGTCATATATTTTTTATTGTCACTTTCCCTTTTTGCCTACAATCGTTTGTAAACGTATCTATCTTCATTATAAGTATTTTCCATTTTCTATCCATTGTTTGATTTATATTACACATACAGTCCACTCATTCTACCTACAACCGCCTTGCTCGAACTCAGCGACGAGGTAGAGAAGGCCTATTTTACATATATGTAAAATCTTATTCGAAAAGATTTAAAAAAAAAAATCTTTGTCAGTCATTTCTCATTTTCAAGTCTCTCCCATTAGGTAAAAATAATAACTAAATTTAAGATAAAATAAAATGTTAATTAAAAGTAATAAATAGCAAAACTGGAAAAGTTAATGTTTAAAAAATAATGTCAAAAATATTCATAACGACTTGGGAAATTCCGATACAGAGATCGCGGATACTTTCGAATCTTATTTCTACTAATCTAACAGACAGTGGTAAGAAGTTATCAGCTGTATTTAACTTCAGACATATAACATCCAGTGGCGGCGTTAGGCGTCGCGCGTCGCCAACGTTCACAAAGTCTCACAAAGTTTTTAATTATTTAAAATTTTGTTACTTATTTTCATACAGTTGAGAGAGTAAAAAGTGTGAATAGAACTTTACAGGATTTAAATATATCCAAAATGTTTATATAACAATTAAGAATCATGGTCACAGTTCCCGTCAGTACAATTTCTGCTGAGAGAAGCTTCCGAAAGTTATAATTGATTATGACCTACTTGAAGCACGATGAGTCAAGAGAGAATATCTGCGTTATCAGTTGTATCAATTGAAGCTGAAATAGCGACTAGTGTTAGCTATTACATAATGCTGAAAAAGTTTAGTATTTCCAAAAGCGTAAAAGTTCGTCTATTTTAATAATTGTCATCATGAGTTTGTCATTAGCAATAAATTTCGTTTACTCATACATTAGTTTAAGTATAATTCGGCTTATGTAATTTAACGTTCTTGACTTGAAAAGGAGGCCTCGCGAACCCTAATTTATCTAATTCGTCTAGCACCACTGATAACATCAGTAGAAGGAATGAAAATGTTTAAGAAAAAGAAAAAAAAAAAATGCCAGGAGTATCGATATGGGTCTATCATTTCTTGGGTCACTCCTATTTCCAAATTTCAAAAGTGGTATGATTTTACCAATTTTCATTATGCAGTCGTTACAGCTTAAGATGCATGTTTTCCAAATTTTACATGATGGTAACTTTTTACCATCAGATGACGTATACTTGTCTCCCACCATCGTAGTATATGGGCACTTTTTTTTTAATAAATTTACAGTACATTTTACAACTCAAAGGAATGTTAATTGTTTTCTAAATAATGTGTACACAAATATTTAAATAAATAAGTAAACATATTTTTAAAATTTCTAGTAATTTATCTATCTATTATTATTAGAAATTAATCTATCTATTAATTTATTGTCTAATTATTTACAAAAATAGAAATGTTGCTGTACGACTATTGTCAACTTAAAACTTTTTAAGGTTGGCAACCCTGACACTTTCTCTATTTAGTCTGTGTTCGCGTTACTGTTTCTGTGATTAATACTGATCAAATTGTATCTGTGCCAATCACGGTTAAAAAAAAAAATATATATCATTGTTACAATTTTCCTACAAGATTTTATTAACAAAATATAAAACAATAAAATGGCTTCGGTAAAAGACGTAGCATCTCTGTATCAAAATTTGAAAAAACGGAATGGGGAAAGAAACCTCGCAACTCGACAAATGTGCAGAGTTGTTAAATAAAAATCAAGGTACGTACAACTGTACCGTTATGATGACTGGACAAAATTTCTAAGCGTCTGTTTCATTAGATTATTTTTAGTAATTACTTCCATTCATCGTTAATTGCTGATAACTCTCATACTGTTTCTTATGAGCATAATTATCTACATGGGTATTGTTTCTCTAACAAGTTATTGTTCCGTTTCCCAGGTCGCCCTTACGCAGTTGACGTTTCTCCCCAGTAATAACACTGCTGCTAATCAAAAGGAATTAATTTTGGCGAGAGATGTTCTAGAAATAGGTGCTCAATGGGCCGTGGCTGCGAAAGACGTGAAAGCTTTTGAGCGTTACATGTCACAGTTAAAATGCTATTATTTTGATTACAAGTGAAGTTGAATTGTATCATTTTCTTTTGATTTTTTATTATAATGTACAGATCTAGCTTCAATTTTCTATCACTTTTGTAAATCTTATATATTGGCGTTAGTTAGATTAGAATTAATGG